TAAGGCCCCTACATTACACCCCAAAGCCCTCAACTTTAAGGGCCTTGCAAACCTTTGAGCCATGCCACAATGCCATTATCAGCAGGTTAGCCCGAGAAGTCTGTTCCTAAAGTTCGCAAACCCCACCCTGATGTGACATTATTCTGCTACTGTTGCTCGGCCTACCTCTGCCATACTACAACTAAACTATACTAAACTACTAGTCTACGACTTCGACGACGACGACGACGGCGACGACGGCGACGCCTACTACGAATACGACGATGACGGCGCCTACGACTACAACTACGACTAGTATGGCTGCGACAACGGCGTTTACTACGACGACGGCTCTACTACCCCTGCTGCTGTTGCTGCTGCTGCGGCTACCTGCTACCGGCTCCCTGTTGCTCGCCTCCTGCTGCCTGCTACGTCAATACCCACTAGCCGTCACTAGCCACTATCCATTACGCCCTACCCACTACCACTACCTGCTCACTATCTACCTAGCAACCTACCTGCCCACCCAACTGCCTGTTTACCTGCCTACTCATTTACCAGCTTGCCATTACCTACTACTATCCACTACTACCTGCTACCTACTACCACCTACGCCCCATTGCGGCTTCGACTGTTGTTGTGCGTGGCACGCGCACCGCAGGCTCCGACCCCCATCATCAAGTTGGTGACTCCTTCGCCTACCGATGCTGCTGCAAGCACCAACACCACCACCCTTCCTCCAGTTGCCATTCTTGAGTTTATGGACTTTAGCTCTTTGGGCTTTTCTCCAGCTGTTTTGGACGAAATCTACAAACTAGAACTGTTTTCGGCTTGTCTTATGCCAAACCTCGTCCAGGAAAGTGTAGGGTTTTTGGGCCTATGAAGTTCGCAAGTGATTTGATCCCGTGAAGTCCACAGCTGAGGTTGTGACCACCAACACAACCACCCTTCCTCCAGCTGCCTAGCACTTGATTTTCAGCATTTTCGGCATGTGCCAGCCCTTCAACAGGAAAGTGTAGGCTTGTTTTAAGAAGTCCACAGCTAAGGTTGCGACCACCAACACCACCACTCTTCCTCCAGCGGCTTAGTCCTTGAGTTTATAGCCTTTAATTGTTTCGGCTTACATCATAAACGCCTCAAGCAGTTTGAATCTGTTTGGCCTTTAACCTCACAGCTAAGGCTGCATCCACCAACACCACCCTGCCTCCTCCGAACGCCACAAACACTACCACAGCGCTTCCGGTCATCGCCGTGCCTTCGACGCCGGACGCCAACAGCGACAAGGAAGAAGAATGCATCTCGCCCATACTGCCGATAACCAGGGTACTATAACAGTAGTATCATAAGCTGGTATAAGAAGGCACTATAATAAGGGACTATAATAACGTACTATGATAAGTAACAAGGTAGTATAGCAGGGGACTATGATAAGGGTAAATACTATATGGGTTGCTATGGTATAGAAGTGTCACCGGGGAGTTGCAGGGTTCAAAAGTGTTCAATCGGTCAGGGTCTTAGTTAGGGTTTTTAGGGTTTCAGGATTTAGGGTTTTGGGGTGTTAGGGTTTAGAGTTTTAGTGTTTAGTGGTTTATCAATAGGGAAGGAAGCAGCAGCTCAAAATTACAGCTCCCGGCGAACTCCCGTTCTGAGGCCCCCAACAAGCCAGACTAGAAAGACGCAGTGTTAGAAGAGTCCGTAAGTCTGCCGTGCAGCACTAGCTAGGCTGTCGAAACTCAGCCAAGGCGCTGCCAACGGGGAGGTGTGCGACACCATGAACTGCTGCAGTGCGGAGTGTCTTCACACGGTGCCTTGTCTCATGGGCTATCAGCACTGTAGGGACTGTCGAGATTCAGGGCTGAAGAATTCCCTGAATCAAAAGCCGCCTCAACCCTAAACCTCTGCAGAAAACCTTTTGGGTTTATGCTGCTGAAGGTTGCCAGTCCCCTTGTTATGAAACCTTGCGGAGTAGGCCTTTGGGACATTTTATTTCTCCCTTCCCGGGGCTAAGAATGTTTTATTTGTGCAGAGTTTTCAGAGGCTTGAAGCGGCCAAGCTAGAAAAACTTATGGGAGCTACTCGTAGTTCGGGAACACCCAAACCGCCATGGGAGCCATGAACCAACATAGTATGTATTTAGGGGCCTTTAAAGTACCTATATAGGAACCCCCGTGCAGGCAAATGGGACATTTCGGTGCGCGCAATGCGTGCGACTTCGCAGCAGTGATGGCTGTTCGGTTTTTTGTTTGATGTCAAAGGATCCACAGCCAGGGGCATCGGGTTGAGATGTGTGACTGTAGCTGCAGAACGTATTCGAATGCCTTCATGTAAGTAGCGAAGGAGTTGGAATGACTTTGGCGTATATCCTGCCATAACCATGAAAGCCGTACATCGTAAATCACAGAGTGTGTGTGTGTGTGCGGGTGTGTACAGTTTCGGCGGAACGGTCTTGTGGGGTCATGCAGAGTTGCGAACACGATTGAAAGTACTTGTGCGAGGATGCTAGGTATTTTCATGCATCAAACCGATACAATGATGTAACGTGTAAGTTCTGGGATCTGGGATATATATATATATATACATATATTCATTTATCTATTTATTTATTTATTTATTTATATGTATGTATGTATGTATGTATGTATGTACATAATCATATGTATATAAATACAGATTTCTCTCTCTCTCTCTCTCTGGCTCTCTCTCTCTCTCTCTCCCTCGCTCTCGCTCTCGCTCTCGCTCTCTCGCTCTCTCGCTTTCTCGCTCTGGCTCTCCTCTCTCTCTCTCTCTCTTTCTGGCTCTCTCTCTCTCTCTCTCTCTCGCTTTGGCTCTCGCTCTCGCTCCCTCTCTCGCTCTTGCTCTCTCTCCCTCTCTCTCTCTCTCTATCTCTCTTTCGCTCTCTTTCTGTCTCTCTCCTCTCTCTCTCTCTCTCTCTGTCTCTCCTGTTGCATATAAAAACATGTATTAATGTAAATGTGTATGTGTTCTTCTTGCAGAGTTTCGTATCCGCGTGCCTACTACTTAGTGGTTGGTTACTACTGCCGCTCCATTAGTGCGAGCAGCCAAAACCTCAAAACCCCCAAAGCCTGCCTCCTATATCCAATTTAGGTGCTACGGTTTCGGGCTTGTAGGTTTAGGGTTTAGGGTTTAGGGTTTAGGGTTTAGGGTTTAGGGTTTAGGGTTTAAGGTGGCTTGTAGTGTCTAGGGCAACCTTCCCTTTAAGACTTTGGGGATACAAACGGGGCCTACATGACAATCAGAATATAGGAGTTTGGTGTGTATCATGATACAACTATAATCAGAAACCACCCCCAAAAAAAGTATAGAAAGTTATTTAGGTATTGGGCAGCAGGGGTCAACAGTTTCAGCGCGCCGGAATTCCTCAACCCTATACTCCTTGCACCTTAAAGAGGATCCTGAGGTTATCTAGATGCTAAGCATGCATCATGCTCACCTAAAGCCTGAACCCTCGGCATCTAATGGCGGTTAGTAGCGCCAAACCTACAAACCTTCAACCGCCAGTATTGCTGGTAGGATTGTGACGCTTCCTCACCGTAAATGACGCACCCTAAGTCCCACAAACCCTAAACCCTATAGTCGCTGGACCCCAAACCCTAGATGGGAGCTAGCTGGAGGAACAGAGGCGACAAAAAAAGAGAGCAACAACGCCAAGATCCTTAGCCCTATAGACCCTACACCCTGCAAGATCATCGCTGCTTATCCAAGGGAGGGGGCCCTGTGCGCGCGTTGTGAGCCGCTTCGCCTTTTGTGGTTTTGTCAGGGGTTTCTACACAAAGCCTCCGCCAAAATTCCATGCCAGGTGCCCGATGATGGTTAACGAATCCTGACAGGTCTTACCCTAAACCCTGAACCCTAGAGTCGGCATGGTTCAGGGTTTAGGGTTTAGGTTTAGGGTTTAGGGTTCTCAGAATGGGTGCGGATTTGGGGGGGGTTGCAACCTCAAGGCCGTCGGGCCCTCTAATTTTGAAGAGGTGACAAGTGGAGGTTTAGAGCTAAGCCCTATATCCCTAAACGCCTAGACCCCAAGGCCCAAGAGCCTAAACACTAAACCCCAGACGCCTAAACCCTATAAACCCTGAATCGGACCTTCACGAAGACGCTGATAGGATCCTGCAAAGGAGGACCCCTCTACATGTTGAGAAACCTCCAATCGCTGAGGGATGAGGATTTAGGGTTGGGGGGGGTTAGTGGTTCATTCATTCAACACCTGGTTGATTTTCGACTCGACGATTATGTCGACAAGTTTCGGGTGATTGATTCGACACGACTAAGTATGAGTGTCGGCCAGGTTCGCTGGATCGCTGTTTAGGCTTTAGTGCCCTGTCAGTTTAGGGTTTCTTAAACCCATTAAAGATACTATTTGGGTACATGGACCCTTAAACCCTGAACACTAGAGAAGTAACAACAGCATATGGACCCCTAGGGAAGTAGAAGTATGCAGGAAAGGCCTTATGGTTCGGAGGGGGGAGGCCTCGGCACCCTCGATGTTTTTGGCGGGTCAAAGGTTCTACCTTTATTAACCTACCAAAACCTAGTTTTTTGTAGGTTCTTATTATAAGCCCTAATAGGGAATATATGGGGACCCTACAAAAAGTAGGCTCTGGTGGGTTCAGGTAGGGTTCAGGGTTTGTAACTGAAATCCCAAGTACCCTGTAGTACTAATACCAATCCGAATACTAATAATACTCATAATACTAATAATACTAATAATACTAATGATACTAATAATACTAATGATACTAATAATATTAATAACATAAGCCAGCCCAGGCTCAGTTATTGCGACCGGGAGGTGGAGTGCTGCTTTGGACTGGAATGTCGTGGCTTGACTGCAAAATCATAAGATTGCTCGCAGGAATTGAGGTTTTTTTGTGGGTGAATCTGCTGGAGGGGGCATCTGCTTTCGAAAGTCGGATTCGGGGTTTTGGGCTCGGCTTAGGCGGTAGGTTTCGGTTTGGGTTTCCTGCTTAGGTATGGGAGTGAGTTTTTGCTCATTATGAAGGGCGAAATAGGGGTATTAACATCCAGAGTTGCCTACACCAAACCCTGAGCCCTCACCCCCTAGCCTAAATCTCTAAACTTAAATCCCTAAATCCCTCAATCCTTAAATCTCTTTAAGCCTAATAGGAGCCCAACACTTTATTCAACTTCTGACGACCCGAGCCCTTTCACTTGAACATCCAAACAACCCTACAACCCCCAACCCCCCTAAAAAACCCAAAGCCCCTAAACTCCTCTAAACCCCAAAACTCCTCTGAACCCCTAAACCCCTCTAAGCCCCTAAACCCGTAACTCCACTGAATCCCCAATCCTGCCCTAACCCCCGAGGTACCCACTTTATAGGATACTAAAGCCTCTAGGGCCCTATGGATGTAGTAGGTACCAAAAGGGTTAGCGCTATCCTTTACTTTGCAACATCCAAAGCAGCGCAGGTGGTGGTTACGACGCGTCGGACGTGAACTCGACCGGATGGTGTGTTTTTCCATGAGCCGATGAGAAGATCAGCGGTGCTTTTGGGGTATATAGGGGCCTTAGAGGCCACTTAGGGGTATAGGGTTTCAGGGTTTAGGGTTTCAGGGTGTAGGGTTTAAGTAGGGTTTGGGGTAGGAGGTATATGTACGCGCATTCTCAACAAGACTGTGGAGTCTTTCGAGCAAAACTTTTACTGCCCTTCCCGGCAAAGCCGGGAGGAACAGGCAGCTTCGTTCAGCCGGGTCAGCTCGCCATCCAACGAGCAGAGAGAGGGAGAACCCTAAACCCTAAATCCTAAACCCTAAACTCCTAAACCCTAAAACCTAAACCCTAAACCCTAAACCCTAAACCCAAAACCAATTCAACCCTAAACCTCGGAATGAGTTGTGTTGTACTTTTCGATATACAACGAAATCCACGAGCCTAAACCCCAGCCTATGAGGCGTACTATAGCCCCAAAATATGCTCTTTGGGCCCTAAAGCCTGAAAAGATGCGCCCTTAGATGCTAAACTTGGGATTTCAGGTTCAGGGTTTAGAGTTAACCCCTAAACCCTAAACCCTCTAAACCCTAAACCCTAAACCCTAATCCCTAAACCCTAAACCCTAAACCTAGCTGTTTGGGACTTTAGGGTTCCTGGGTTTGGGGTCACTGTTCTGGAAGATGGCGGACGTTTTGCCCTTGGGGCTGTGCCAACTTTTAATTATTGATCAGGTCCCTGCATGTGCCTCGAAGAGGCACATCCGTGGCTGTTTAAGAACCAGGTGCTGAAATGCACCGTGTAGGGTTTAGACATCCAACCTAGGGCTCAGGGTTAAACATATAGGGTTTAGAGCAGGTGCTGAAATGCACCATTGCGTGTTTCTTGCAGCGTCTGCTACAAGCGCGTGTGAAACAGAAAGCTGTCGTTCATGGGCACCTCCACCTCCAGCAGCAGTAGCTTTATTTCATGAGACAACTCTTTGCAACAAGGTTCCAAAGAACCCTAACCCTTAACCCTGAACACCAGATCGTAATCTACCGATGCTGGTACTGTGGCTACTACCTACTGCACGCTTTGTGCACAATCTCTGGACTCTGGCAGTATTACCTCTTTGGTCCAACAGTTCTTTTTCGCAAGAAGAGACGCGACATTGGTACATGGACCCTGAAACATAGGCTGAGACCTCTACCGAAAACAGATTTGTCGCAGCCCGAAGAAGCGCAGACCCTTTAAAGACCCAGGTCTTTACACTCTGATAAACCCGAAACGCTAAACCCTGACAGAGCCCAGCTTAAGGCGAGGAAGATGTCTGGAACTTTCCACTTTAGCTATGCAAACTGCCTTGAATTTTGCGGATGGGGTAGGGCTTTGGTGTTTACGGTGGAAGGGGGTTTTAGGGCTTAGGGTAGAAGGAGTGTTGGGATGCGCAACCCAACACCCTAAACCCTACACCCTAAACCCTGTATACACCCTAAACCCTATACCCTACACCCTATACCCTACACCCTAAACCCTAAACCCTACACCTACACCCTAAACCCTAAACCCTGTTTAGAGGACCGTTTTGCCCTTAACACCTAGCGGCCTCCGGGATCTCTTGGCCAGGGCAATGGGAGGAAGGTTGGGACGCCTGGGATGATGGCGGCTGGGGAGGAGGCAGTTTCCCGTTTTTTTTTGGTGGTTGGGGGAACTTTAAATTAGGGGTGCTTGGGGTTCAAGCGTTGTAGGGTGTAGGGATTAGGCTTTAGGGTTTAGTTCAGGGTGTAGAATTCTGGGGCCAGGAGGCTGATGGTGGACTCCGTCTACTACA